CTTTTTCTCCTGCGCGAAACTTCGTTGGAAATTCCCCTGTCTATAACTCAGACCGCCGACGACCGCCACCCCTCTTAAATAAACGCATATTCTCCCCCGACTTTATAAAAATACAATACTATACATACTATCCAATTCTTAGTGACCGCGCCAGTCTTAATTTTATACATCATTATTTGTCGGAGAGTTTGTTCGCCGATGTATTATTTTGATAATAATAATACATCGTATTGAAATCCCTATATACAAATATATGCAGTGAAACATCTATAAAACGGTCATTGAAGGGACCGTAAATAATAACCGCTATTTAGAGGTGATCGCTAAAACAAGTGCAATACTTCCAGATGAATGACTGTTATATAGAGTGCATAAAAAAAAAACCAAGTACACAATAATATGCACACACTAAAAAATTATATTTATGACACTGAAAAGTTATTTACTGATAAATATATGTATGAAAATTAAAATTATTGTGTAATATTATTTTGTTTTAAATTTATATTATTTAAACAAATTTTTTCGAAATAAATTTCTGTTGTTTTTAATAAATTAAAACCATCTACGAAGATGTGAAGAGTGAAGATTCACTTGAAGAGTGAAATGAACTTATTGTTTTATTTGATCAACAACCTCTGAATAATTTGATACGTTGCATTCGGGTTCTTCAATTCACCAGATTCCTCGGTTTCTTCATTGAATTCCTCCTCATCATTGTCTTTCGTAATGAATGACTTGATATCACTGATATCTTTTTTAATGTTACGATTTTGATTGATCGAAAAAAACTGAAGTCAATTGACATTGGAAACTAATGAAACATAATAAAATACACAAATCCTCTGTGTTCATAGCGTTATCGTAAAAGTTTGATAACGCTATAAACTATAAACTGCCATAAATAGTTTGGGCAAACCACGCACTTTAAATTTCTTACACATTTCTTTTATGCATCAGTATATATTTTCTATTATTTTATCTTATATTTTGATCGTTATTCAGAGTAGCCGCTATATAGAGGTATTAATGTAGTTTTCCCATAACACTTGATGGGACCAAAAAAAAAAAAAAAAAAAATGACCGTTACATAGAGATTACCGTTTTTTTTAGTGGTGACCGTTAACGAAAGTTTTACTATATCATTATATGTATGTATACCATCTATATATATTTTATACTTGCTGCTACTTCTATTATATTTTCCATCACTCTCCTTTTTAATGTTATAAAAAATTCGTTATCGTTGTTTTGTGTTTGTTCTTAAAATTAATCGACGGAAATTTTAACGTGAAAATCGTTGAAACAAATAACCAATTTAAAAAACAAAAATATTTAAGTGTGATAAACGAAACAGACATCGAGAAACCAAAACCGATTTATTTTTTTACCATAAAAACCGTACCTTGATTATGTCTATAAGATAAATCTCCCCCCCCCCCTCTCCGTAACATATTGTTACAGAATATTTCTGTAAATGATTGTCTGTGCTATGTAAATAAAACTGGGGAGACAAAGTCTCCGAAACCAAAAGGCTGCATCAGTCGTGATGGTTATTGTGTGTATTGTGAAATAATTCATTATAAACGAAATGATTAATCGTCTGGCGTTTGATGAACGGAAGAAGTTCAGTTTATTGGCTTACGTATTTTCATGTCGTTGTTAAGTATGTTAAGTGTTAATAAAAAAAAAAAAAAAATTAAAAGAATAACGTCAAACGGTTCTACATTGTATTATAATTAAGACCAATATAATATATAAAGAGAGTTCTTTCAACCAAATAATGTTTTATTTATAATGCGATAAAATCGTAATACATTATCAAGAAAGTGTTGATGTTTATTATTAACGGTTTTTTTTTTTTTTTTTTTTTAAATTTATAAAATAAATAGTAATTATCAATAGGGCTGTGTTTTTAATGCCGTGAAAAACCTTAAAATGCACAAAATATGCATAAACAATTTCAAAAAAAGCAATACAATAATTATGCATTTAAAGTCTCAAAAAATGCAAAATAAAATGCACTTAAAAAGGTTTTTAATTTAATTTTTATATTTATTTTGATATTATTGATATCGATGTCGCAAGCCCGCAAATAACTAATTTAGACAATATTTCTTTAATTTATTGAATCCTTAGCTTTACCTAACCCGTATACAGCTTATGTAAAATATAAATTTGACGTATATACAGCCTGTGTAAAATAAAAAAAACATGTGTGTAAAGATGTTCATTGGCGGAATTCGATTAAAAATACCGGAAAATGAACTAAAAAGGAAAATATGACTTAAAAAGTTCAAAAAATAATCTTAAAAACTAAAAACGGCAAGAAATGTAAAAAAAAGTTTCATAAACTAATTTGTTACTACATAGTTCAAATTATATACTTAGAAAGATATGTTTTACAATCGCCTAAAAAAAATGCACTTTCCTATAAATTCACAGCCCTAATTATTGGTAACCCGACCGGTTGCGTTATTTCGTGAAACGGCCAAAAACACCGTTAATGAATAATAATATTAACTCGATTCAATCCCGTAATTTGTTGAAAAAAGTTAACGTTCCAACAAGTCGAAAAAATCTTAATTAACTTTTTAACTTGTGTGTTTTTTTTTTTGTAAAATTTGTATTCTCGTATTATAGTGAAAATAGCAAGACACAAGTTAAACGCGCAGGGATTATTCCGAAAGGATCAAAAATCATACCTATACCTACTTAAGTACTTTAAACTTAAAACTACACACAATAATGAACTTAACGCAATGTAATTTAATTTTAACTCGTTAATTATTAAATAAAAATATAAAAAAAAAAAAATCAAAGGTTGGGCTGATAATTAAAATTGAACTTTTAACTTTTCGAGTCGTTAATGCCCGGCGTCCCACACAGCGGCGTGCGCAGGAATGAAAAGAGTGTTAGGGGTTATTTCCTTCCTTTCTATTCGCTTAAAAATACATTAACTACGCGAGTAGCATTTATTTAGTAATAAAATAATAAAATAAAAACAAAATTATTTATTTAGTAAATTTTTCGTGGAATCTCAAAACATGTTTAACCGAACTTCGCTTTTTCGTTTTTTGTAACCGATCGTCGCGTACAGATATAAATTAAATACTCTAGTCGTATATATTTTTAAATGGGTTTTTCGAAAACCGAAAAACGATAAAATTTAAAAGTGTTGGATGAATGTTTTTCATGGTACCTATAACCAAACCAAAAACTCAGAACTAAGGTATCTATACTCATCTACACGTTGCAATAAAGTGTAAATGTTTGGTAAATTATTTAAATTTTATTTGAAGCCGAGGTAGGCGATGCGGCAGAGCCTTCAAGTCTATATTCTCGATAATACACGCGTTATCTCGAAAAGTTTTTTTTTTCGGAAATTGTTTTTTTTTGAATATTTAAGAAACGATTGGCTTTAAATTTTACACGCGGTTATTTTTTTACACCCATAATTTTGGAAGTGAAGCCGCTAGAAAATTTTGGTTTTATAATATTAAACTATAGTAAAAATTGTATAAATATATGTGTGTTCAGTTTAAATACATTTCAGTGTTGATATTTTTAATTTCCGGCGACCCATTGACGAGATGTTACACGTTTAATTTTGTCATTTTCTAGGTAGGTGGAGAATAGTGTGGACCATTACTCAAACGCCACGTGCTGCGTCGCAACACAAATGATGTCCCACTATTCTCTTCCTACCCAAACTTAGAAGTGTAATGGCTCGTCAACGATTTGATCGGAATTAACAATTTCAACACCATTTAATTTAAACTAAAACTTCATTTATTTATAGAATTTTTATTATAGGTCGCTATTTGAAATGCGAAAGTGATTTTACCCTCAAAATTATGGATGACAAAAAATAACGGGTAACGTAACGTTTTATACATTGTCCGAACGAAAAAATTCCGAAAAAACTGAATACTACTATCCCAGATAATCAGTGTCATATAATAGATGATCACTCTGTATCAGTGGCATATTTACAGGGTTGATTAGGAAGATATATCTCCCTCGTGAACTTTTTTTAGTTTCTACGAAATTCATACGAAATATATTTTTAAATTAAATTTACTTTAATTACTTACAATTACTATAATTACTATAATTATAATTTTGTAGTTAAAATATATATATTAAAACAAACAGATATAATTCGCATGATGGATGGGCCACTTTTGTAGGTGAGAAGTTGGGTAGGTTGAGGGGAAATTTAATGTATATAACGATTGTAATCACTGCTAACGAAAAACGATTTTGAGCAGAATTTTGAGCAGAAGCTTTTTATTTTTCTGTGGACAACTTTTCTACCAGCAATTTTTCTCCAATTACAACGATAGCACTTTTTTTAAACGAAATCTGACTGGATAGATACTTAAGGGAGGTTATTTTTTTATTTTCACAGAAGTTTTCCCAATAAATGGGAAAAATTGGGAAAACCGGGAAAAACGTAGGAAAAACGGGAAAATAGGTACAATATTACACAGGTATTATTAAAGAAAATGTTTAATGCGTATATTATTATTTTACCATAAAAACGGTAAATCGCTTCCTAGCAGTGTATCCCTGGCAACGTGTCAGACGGCTAAAGATTTACAACAATCGGCTGCTGTACTGTCTTCCAAATTTCACAGCAATTAGGAGCATCACAAGCACAAACAAACCACATAATATTGTATATTACATATACGTTGTCGACAAAGGCAACACTGTCAACCAAACTCCGCTCAGAATAGTTTTTTCGTTAATAATGATAGTGGCTACACTTGTCCCCATTATCCTATGACAGGCATTTTTTTTTTTAGCCGGTTTACACCGCGATATACGTTGTATGGTATGACACAATTTCCAAATTAATCGTCTTTCTCCTTGCGGACAAAATCCAAAATACGCCACTGTCGCGTGTGCCTATACGTTTTGTACGCGTATATTTTAATATCGTAATCGCCGACGGCAATAATGATTTTTGTTTGTTTTGCATGTGTTACAGTATGTCGTTAGACGCAGAGGCACCACGAACGGCCGCCGAGATGCCGGCGATCAGCGATAAAACCGCCACCAATTTCACTGCGGCTTGGCTGTTGAAATCGACGTCGAGCGATAGCGAACCGAACGACTGTGCACCGGACGTGAAAACAGGAAGCAAACGCGTTACCGATACGGTCAACCGCGACCAAAGGGGATTCAATCCGAAAAAACGACGTAAACAAACGAATCCCACGCGGATCTCGTCCGACGGGGAAAACGCGAACGTAACCAACGGTAATAATAACGAACGCGCCGCGGCGCCGTTATTGTCGCCGGACGCTAACGTGAACGCGACGCCGAAGCAGAACGGCGGCGGGCCGGCAAAAGGCAAAATGAAATTGACGGGCCGCCAACACGCCGCCCCGTCCAACGTTCTTCCGTTAAATCTGACGAAATCCGGCGGCGCGCAAAAACGATTGCCGGACGATTCGAAAAAAACGATCAAAAACAACTACCCGCTGAACGTCGGCGGACGGCCGCCGCTGAAACAAGAGTCGGCTGCCGAACTGCCAACCAAGTATTACGCGGCGTTTTCTCAACGAGCTTTCGCCAAAACGAAAAGGGACAACTTTCCGGTGGCGGTCGGACGGCCTTATGCAATGCCGCCCGTTAAGAACAACAACCGTCAACCGTCCGGTCACGCGGCAAACGTAAGAATGTCACCCGTCCCTGTGCAAATATTCAATCCGGAGGCGTTTTGCGATTTGTGCAACAAGGAATTCTGTAACAAATACTTTTTGAAAACGCACAAGGCTAACAAACACGGCATTTACGGCGACGACGGTCCGTTCGCGGACCAACACGACAAAAGCCAAAATAAAATACCGTTGCCTCCGATTGCCGGCGATTTACCGCCGAACGACCGCTCCGGAGGAACGTCGCCGTCGACTTCGGCCGCGTTCAGAGGCGCACACGCTCAACCAGCAGCGGCGGCGGCAGGAAATACGGGCTCGTCGAAAAGCTCGGCCAATCCACAGAATCGGGCGTTTTGCAACCTATGCCAGAAGGAGTTCTGTAACAAATATTTCGTCAAGCGTCATAAGGCCAAAATTCACGGTTTCACCGTGGACAACGGAGACTATTGCAAGAACGACCACGGTGTCCCGTTGAAATTCAAAACCAACGGAGAAACGAGGAAAAACAACGTTTCGACGGATATGAACAAATGCTACGATAAAAACGACAAGTTCGCGCCGGGTCCGTCCGAAACGCCGAAAAACGTGCGCCCGAAGACGGCGGCGAAAGGTGCGGTCCAAAAACCGGTGGCAAACGAAGCGGCGCCCGTGCAGACGAAGGCGTTCAGAGTCGAATCGCCGTGTAATCAAAACATTAAAGTGGAACGTTCGGACGAACACTACGTGAATAAAGTACCGAACGGATTGTACGGCACGACACACGGTCACGGCGATAACGGCGAGATCGCGAACAATTCCACTCGTAACATAAACGCTTATTACGGACAATCGGCGGTACACGAAGAGTTGTCCAAACCGTACGTCGAAAATAAACCGCGACAGCAGCAGCAGCAGCAGCAGCAGCAGCAGCAGCAACAGTTGCAACAGCAACAGCAGCGACAATTGCAACAGCAACAGCAAAGACAACTGCAACAGCAACAGCAGCAGCAACAGCAACAGCAACAGCAACAGCTGCAACAGCAACAGCAACATCAACAGCTACAACAGCAACAGCAGCAGCAACAGCTGCAACAGCAACAGCAGCAGCAACAGCAAAGGCAACAACAACTTTCGATCGCGGAATTCGGGAACGGTGCCTGCAACGATACTCCGATGAACTTGATTACTGTGAATAACGGCGAGCACTACTACGGCGATAATCCGAAAAACGATTACGGTACTGCTGCAATGGGACGAAAAACCGACGACGCGCACGAACATACGAAAACCGCGAATGTCGCCAAAAACAACGACGGAATTATTGTTGACGAAAATATCGTTACGGCGGCGGCGGCGGCGGACCGGACGGACAAAAGCAAGTTGCTCGCGTTTCACAATTTCATTTTTCAACTGAACGAGCGTTCGCTGGAGAACGTATTGAAATGTTATTTGTGTAACGCGCCGGTGGTGGACGGATCGTTGAAATCGCACATTTTCGACAAACACGAACACCTCGTCAGCGAACTGATGAACGAGACGCTGGAGCTGTGCAACAACAGCGCGGCGACCAACACGCGTGCCGAGTACTCGTGTCACGATTGCCGGTTGACGTTCGACACGGACGCGTCACTGAAAACGCACTTCGACCAATGGGATTGCGGCGACAAAGGTTGCCGGGCGTCCACGGCCAGTCCCGCGGATGACGACGAACAGCTCGGGCTGCCGCTGCCGTATTTCGGCAGTCCGGGTGAAACGCAACACTACGCGATATTCAGCAGTTTCTGTAAGATCTGCAACAAAGAGCTGTGCAACAAGTATTTCATGAAGACGCACATGCGCCGGATGCACGGCATATCGATCAAAATCGGCAACAACATCGGCGGCGTGATGTGCGACATTTGCAACAAGGAACTGTGCAGCAAGTACTTTCTGCGCGTGCACAAGCAGAACTCTCACGGCGTGGTGGACGCTGGCGGACCCGGCACGAAAAACGGATGGCAGGTGATGGGCCCGACGGCGGCCGCCGCAAACGTCGGTGGCTGCGGCGGCAGCGGCGGTTCGCAAGCCGCTGCGGAAGAAACGGACGTCGGCAACAACAGGTACTACAGACACTACACCGAAGTGTGCGGCGTGTGCTTTAGACGGTTCCGGAGTTCGAAGTGGCTGAGCGCCCATTTGTTGAACGAACACGGCGACGAGGGCAAAACGCAGTGGACGCAAATACAGAACCATCACGCGACCGTCGCGGAGCAAAACGATAAGCAGCAAACGATTGTCGCTACCGCCGCCGCCACCGTACCCCGGGCAGCGATTTACGAGACAAACGAACCGAGCTCGGCGACGCCCAGTGTATACGGTACCGTGCCGCAGCTCGAGCGAAATTCCGCGAGTCCGGAACAGCGGAGACCGCCGACGATCGAGGAGATGAAACACTATCGGTGTTCGTATTGCGCGTTCACCACGTCCATTTTGTCGTTTCTGTTCGTGCACGAAAAATTCCACTTGGCCGAGCACAGAAACGCCGTGGAAGACGCGCTCGTAACCACACCGATGCAGACGTGTTCCGTCTGTTGCGCGCAATTCCCGGACACCGCGCAATTGGAAAACCATTTGATACATTGGCATTTCAACAACAACAACAACAACAACAGCAACAATAACTACACTGGCGCGTTTCCGCCGCCCGGCCCGTCGTGGGCTCCCGTTTCTCGCCGGTCCCCCGTCGCACCGTCGGTTAACTTTGCCCACACAATCGCCGACATCGGGTGTCCGCGTTCGGCCGCATACAATAACAGCGTCGTCCAGACGTCGGACGTGACGTACGGAAACGACGCGTTCGTAGCCGAACTCGGACCGCCGACGATCGAACAAACGCCGCCGCCGTGGTATCGGGCCGGCACAAACGTCGCGGTGCCCAACTACGGCTACGTTCCCAACCACGAGCCGTTTATAATGCAGTCGTTCTTCCTGGAAAACGGTTTGGCGACGCCGCCGATCGAGGCGGAACTGCGGGCGGCCGGCCGAAGCGACCCGTTCCATTCGTCTCTGGTGTACTTGCCGGTCAAGGAAAAGTTAACGTCCACCGTTAACGTGTTCTTCAAACTGACCCCGACGTAGACCGGACCACGCGATGGAGGAGCAGGTGACTGTAATACGTAAACACCATTATAGTATATTATTTTATTATACGTATTATAGGTGTACAGTATACGTAGCGTTCATAAAATAAGTCATATACGTTTGTAATAAAAATATCTCGAAGTATATTATACTAATTTACTAATAAGGTACAATATTTTTAAACGAAGTATAAGATTTTAGTCCGAATACATATTACACACACACACACACACACACACACACACACTAGTGGCACGTCCGGAGGGGGGGGGGGGTAAGTTAATAGAGCTACGGGGTTAAATATTTCCGGCTTTTTTCTATATAGTAGTGAAACGAGCCTAAAATAACATAGAAGCAATAGGAATTTGCTCGTAATTCGGATTTCGAAATTTTAAATTTAGAATTATCCTGTAATCTTATGCTTTGCTTATAACGTTCCAGCGGCAGTAACGTGTCTTGGATAAATATCATCCACGGGGCGGGTAAATATTTCAGGTGTTTATCCGCCCAAATTTTGGATAAATATTTTGCATTTTTAATTTCGAAAACCCAATTTCGGATTTCAACGTCCGAATCCGGATTTTTACGGATTTTAGAGAATCCGGATTTATTTCACTACCCCCAGTGCCCACCCGTCACCGACATTCCCAATATATTCACATATAATACGTTTACTGAATTCGTAGTTGACGAACACTTTAATATTTAATTATTTTCATATTGAACAACCCGCCCGCCCCTGAATATTGGAAAAAAAAAAAAAAACCGTCGAGCGATCGCGAATGCTCAAAAGCCGCTGTTTCCTTTTGTTTCGCCATTGTCTCAAATCGGGACAGCGACTGCACGCTTACACCGGTCGGTACTCCCAATCAGTATAAACGCGTATTACACGCTAACATTTACGATTGTAAATATGTATTATATTTCTCCGTGCAATAACGTAGACTTCCCTCTCATAATACAAAAACTACCGGGTGTGCCGCTGCACATATTACTGTTAGAACAGCACACACACACACACACACACACACACACACACACAGGCATGCACGCACGCACAATTTACTATCGAAATAAGACTGAACGAAATATGTCTATTATTGTTTAACAATAATACTAAACTTACCTATACATAATATAATATACTGTATAATACGATGGGTGCTGGAATGAAATACGGTGATATCGATTCCATATGTACTAAAGTTCCTAAATATATTATGCCTAGAAAAAAAATATCTGTAACGCCACAATAGACACCGCTGTCCCGGTGCAGGTTGCATTTGCATTCCAAAACATATATTCCATATTATTGTTCCCGAATTCAACAGTCGGCGGTCTCGGGTGCCGAGAGAGGGAGTGGCGGACCGATTGAAATCCAAAAGAAATATTGCGCAAATGTTCAAAATATCCTTCGACGTAGTAATAATAATAACTTTTGAAAACGAGCGATTCGTTTTGTGCGGTCCGTTATTGGATTTCGTCGTACTCGCGTATCGTGCGGTACAACCCAAACGATATATTTATGGTGACCGGGTAAAAAAATCCAAAAAAAAGTACGTTTTAAAATTCAGTCCCTCCATTATAAAAAAAAAAAAAAAAAACACCTCTCTTGAAAGAATTGACCAATGTATATACTGTTCTACTAATTTTGCCCATAGCTCATCTCCATCTATATATACATTTTTTATTTTATTTTATTTTTACTACTCTATTATTGTTTTTTCTCTAATCGACTATAAAAACTAGGTAAAACTATGCATAATAACTGGTGGTTATAATGTTAGCAACTTTTGTTTTTTCGTCAAACATTAGTTCTCCAGCTCTCGCTACCGTTGTCAGTCACTTGCAGACGTTTGGAGTGCATTAGGTCGAATCATAGAATATTAAAATATAAACGAATAATCAAACTACACAAAATCATAAACATGTATTAGCCCGTAATATTTTCAAAAAGAATAGTACGATTTCGAATACTTGACACTACTTGTTCAGGACATGGGGAAAGAGTGTAACGTCCTGTGGAAAAAAAAAAAAGTACGCCTGGTCACCCCGTAAATATATTATTGTAATTAACAATCGCAATTGCGGTTCGAAATTCCGAACAGATTACAATGATTGTCTCGTCGCGATATTCGCGCCATCGGAACATAACAATCTACAGTAAAACCTCACTTTAACGGACCCCCCCCACCCGTATAAGGCGGGAATCTCCTTGAAACGGAAAACAACGACAGTTCTGCACAACTTCAGTCTCCCTGTGTAAACGGACACACTATCCTTTAAAACGGAAAGACCGGTGGCCGCGTGGCGATTCCGTGATAATGAGGTTTTACTGGATGATAAAAATATTATATGTATAGCGTCGCAACTCGAAAAATCGTGTTTTTAGAATAGACAGAAAAAAAAAAATGTAACATATGCCTGTCAAACAAAAAGTAATTTAACTATAGTTATATATCGTCTTTAAAATAAAATTATATATACGGATGGCTTCAAGACCGTGTTTTTGGTACGTCACAAATGTCAAATTGTTCGGGACAGCCATTAAAAGTTTTCGAATTTTTCAAATCACTATGGTTTTTTTTTTTTTTTTTTTATTATTATTTTTTTTAAATTTAATTTTTAACTTAAACATGCAAACTCGATACGGTGTGTGAAACTCGCCGTAAACTAATAACTGATCAGTTAAAACTTTTTTCTCAAACCAAAAAAAAACAAAAATTAAACGATGGCTGCAATCGTTGCTGTACAATATCTCGGTATGGACGTACGCCTAAACAAGTATTTAGCGGACATGTCGTTTAATAATTAAATTATTTTCGAAAAATTTGACATTGATCGATGTCCAATCAAATATAATCGAATGTCCGGATTTGTCCGGCGGTTAAAACGAACATCAATGTTAGTAGGTGCTCATTATATCTGTTTGAGACAATCGTATGCCACAATTTTTGTTTGGACTCGTCGTGTTGGTGCATTCGAAAAATACGATCGGCTCGTAAAACGTCAAATATTATTATGTAAAAAAAAAAAAAACACAGTTTCATAATTTTTGACTCGCGTTTTGCTCTTGACATTTGGCAGAACCGTAAAGACCTAGGCCCACAGTCTCGTCGGTTTTGGAAAAACACGTCGTATCATATTACATTTGGCCTCGGAGCCATCGATATATTTTACACATCGAATCGGAACGAAGATGTAACAACAATCATCTCGTGACCCGATTTTTCTTTAGCTAAATATATAATAATACACCGTGCGAACTAAAACATTACAACTATTTAAATTGCAATATACGTATGCGACAATCACTATTAGTTCCGAGACACGCTGCGCTAATGCGTTTGCAGCAGCACACGCTATAGTGTGTCGTATTCCCCTCGTTTAACGGCGTAGGTATTTTTTCACCACGGGGATAGGCTGCGGGTATGACACGAAATCGTCATTTTTCGAGTTGCGCGACGCTATTTGTAATGTTCTAATGTTCTGACGGCCCGAACCATTTCAATAGATACTTTTAATCGTTTTAACGGTATTGATGAAATTATTATTGTTTTTTTTTTTTTTTCTTTGCGATAATAATAACGTCTGGAAAGCACCCAAAACAATATTTACGCCGGGTTACGTGAATGATCACTAAGCGTTTAGTGAACCGTTAGATTACGTACAGCTCTAATGTGTCACTGAATTTTTTAACGATCCGTTAAATTCCGTTAAATTTTTCCTCCCTGACTCTTATAGATGACCCGGTCACTAAAACGGTCGGTCCGATTTCGGCTTCTTTAACGCACCGGGCTTATCCCGGCGAAAACCCGGTATTTAAAATCCCTAAAATAAAATTGTATTTTTTCCATGACTGTTCGATTTTCACGGTTTTACAATAGTTTTCAATTATTTCCAAACGAAATCACGGCTAATATTTTATCACTTTTCTCGGTGCTAAGACACGAGTACTTACATCTCAACCACTGTAACCACGTACCGATCCACACATCATAATATTAATACATTTAACGAACCGGATACTTCCCAAATACTTCCTAAATAGCAACCCAAATACTTCGCCGGACATTGTTTAACGGCCGATAAATCCCACAATGTAATACTACACACATTTCACGAACGGTTTTGCGCGACTCGGCGTAACAATAATGTTGTTGATGTTTTGTTCGGGTTTTTTTTTTTTTTCGTCCCGTTTGTAATTTTTTCGGCAATTTTCTCTTCGCAGTTACCCCACCGTGTACTGTTGTGCGCATAATAACATCCCTACGTCATCCGGTGAAATGAATCGCTCGCTACGTTATTATATTTACACGTAGTCCTACGTTATAATATTATAATTTAATATTTACCTACCTGAACTAATAATTTATATGGGTTACGTTACGAAACGTAATCATATTGTTTACAAACAACTGTATACCTACACCTACGTGTTTATTATGTTCAATTATGATAATTCATTTCAGTTACCTACCTCTCTCCGTTCGGATATTATTATAATATATATATATATATATATATATATATATATATATGTATTCACAATCGTAATCCGTTTTTATTAAATTATTATATTATTATATTATCTGATAATCAAAATTTTTTTTATGTTTAAGTGTACCTACCCCGCCTCGACCGTTAGAAAAAAAAAAAAAAAACTAGGTCGTTGGTTTTTTTGATAATCAAAATTATACATTAATCTAGTTTAAATTATTATAATCAAAAAAAAAAAAAAAAAAAAAAAATGTAAAAAAATAGTTTGTTATTGCATTACGTATTATCGTGTTTTACAGTTGATATTGTTTAACTTTAAGTCACCGTTATTACATGCTGCAAGAATATTGTCCGATTGTTTTTTTTTTTTTTTTTTTTTTTTTTTCATAGTGACAGTTATATTATATTACTATTATTATTATTATTATTATCGTCGCTATACCAAGGTACGTATCTATATTATACAGGTAAAAGAAAAACCGTTATGAATATTAATATACGACGAGGTATTGATTAACGAAAACTTTTCCATTAGATTGCATACGAATGACCATATTATTATCGTAATTTAAGGACAATTATTTATTATTTCGAAATATTTATTAAAATCAATAATATTAATTATTATTAGGATATAGTCCGTATTATTACATAATGCGTAGGCGTTTAAAAGTATTGAACTATTATATTATATAATACGCTTAGGTACAGCCAAAAAAAAAAAAAAAAAAAAAAAATCGTTTTAAGGAAATAAATTATTAATTAATAATATGATTATTTCTATTTATAATATATACCTATCGTTAGTTAGTTTTCTTTCTTTTTTTTTTTTTTTTTTCATTCTTAACTGGCGTCGGACTTTTATTGCAATATAATATAATATTTATATATATATATATGTATACGTAGTATCATAATCAAAGTTTGCGCGATTATATTGTGTAAATTTATTCGCACGAAATATATATATATATATCGTGTATAGGTATAAGCGTCATTATTTCTAATGTACTATTGGAATACATAAGTTTCGCTTTTTGTTTTTATTTTTCGAAAAATTCCAGTAAAAAATATATTATATTAAAAAAAAAAAAAAAAAAAAAATCCTTTATGTAACCATCATAATAATAATAGTACTCGTATACTATTGTGTATTCGTCTTTTCAAATACATACCTGCAGTGTATTATTATTGCTTAGATGTAGCCAGCAAAATAATAATCGACGTAACTGTTTTACTGTAATATTTAGGCGATCTATTAATTATCGCGTTAGTGTCGGAATATACGGCAAATAGATTTGTTTTTTGCCGTCGGAACCGTGCGCACGCACGTGCGTATGATGTGATGTGCCATTATTAAAAACGGTAGACATTAAGTTTGAGCTAATTGAAATAAATTCAAAAAAAAAAAAAAAAACACGTCGTTAAAATTAAATAATTTTTCGATCGCGTTTGAGTGTCCGCTGCAAACGGACATTATTAATTATTATTAATTACCATCGCCGTTGCTGTTTCCGAACAAACGATATTTTAGCAATTGACCAGCCGACACGGGCATTGACAACATGCGCAGTGCAGTTGAAAAACAATTTTTAAACGACCGGCCAAGTTTTAAATTTTAACGTTCGATTTTGTCACCTTAACTTATTATTATTATTATTATTTTGTACTGTTCCCCAGTAATGTCCGCGGAATTCCGCGTTAATTGACATTCCCGAAACCCAACCCTGTAATAATAGTATACGCGTAAACACGTCGATCAATTTTTTTTTTTTCGAAGTTTCAAGTTTCGTCAAGTTTTTCGAAATATGGGCTTCCTGTGAGCATTTTTTTCAACGCCTATATCGCGGCGTTGTAAAATTTCCCGAAAGATGAATCTACACCGCCCGAGTTTATCGGTTCCGAATCAACTCGATTACCCGTAATGTTCTGTTGATACAAACGCCCATTGGCTTTCAACATCGTTAACCGTCGCCGACTCGTTTGCCGCGCGTATGGAACTGAGCCCCGCCGAGTCACCGCACACGTTCCACAGTCGCCGGACTCGCCCAGTCCGGGGATCGATTTGTCCGCATCGTGTGCACAAATGGCGGGGCCGAAATGGTCGTCTCGTTGAATAAAATCACAATATTGTTTTTACCGATATTGCGATAATAATATTGTACGTCAACGCAATAGTAGTAATAATATCCGTGCGGTAACGTTTGTCAACGGGCGACTATATCGCTGGACACTTTTGACCGGATCGAACGGAAATACCTAATCGCATTTACCGGAATATCAGCCGTGATAGCGTTTCGTCCGTGTGGATTATTTTTCGGGCAGAAAAAAAAATCAAAAAAAAAAAAAAATCCATATAATTTCACCGAATAGTAATAAATCGTTGTCTAACGCCGGAAATCGATATATCGCCGCGGTGCGCCCTTTAACGACACACGGGTAATATTAAAATTATTATTATTGTTGTTGTATAATTTTTTTAAATCCAATTTGAAAACAAACAACAGTAAAAAACGTTCAACGAGCGAAATGATATAATGTCCGATCGAGTGTTACGTGATATTATTTTCATATAAATTTTATCGTACGCCCGTATTACTTAAATTGCACATACCATATGCGGTCGAACGCTATTAATTTCTGAAAAAAAAAAAAAAAAAAAAAAAAAAAAAAAAAAGAAACCGCCAGATGCCGGTATACTGCAGACTCGATTTTTCCTTTCCGTATTTTCCGGGAGACGGTTTTTTTTTCTTTCTCGTATTTGAATTTCGGTAAAAAATGTCTTTCGGTTAAATCTGTAAGCTGCGCAATAATATTTTTACTCGTATACTATTATATTAATTAAAAGACGTCCGTTACTTCCTGCGGAGCGGCGAATCCGGAAATTGTTTAAAGGGGAGCGGGCGCGGGCGCATTATTTATATTTTCGGCAAATCGACCATACTATACCTATTAAATTAATTTAAAATGCACGAATACAAAGCGTAGTCCATTGACAGGGGGGCACGTGCCCCTATGACTATGTACCTATGTTATTATGGGTATGCGGTTCGACAAAGCCACAGTGCACTGGTTTTTTTTTTTTTTTTTTTTCCGTTCCCAATAATATTTAATCAAAAAATCATTAATCGCGAAATATTTTCGGAATTAATAACGAAAAAATACGAATAATAATATTAATAATTGTAAAAAAAAAAAAAATATGTCATCGAAGCGCGCGCGATCGAGCGATCATAATAGTTATTATACTATGATAATATTGTGTCCAGAAAAAATAAATAATTTTAAATTATAATTATTATTAAGCGTGTTTGTAGACTTAAAAAAATAATCGTATTTATATTGTTCGTGTACGTTAAGACGGATTGATATTCGTATTATTATAATATATTATTTTTTAGTTCGGTGTTTCATTCGCGTATACTATATGTGTTATGCGCGAAAACGTAATCAAAAATGTATAATCAAAATATTAATTAAAACGTGTAATCAAAATTATCAATTAAGGTTTATTAAAATTATTATATTATATAATATTTAGATTTTATTTTACGTGTTAACCGATAAAATTACCGATAGTGTTTGTACCTACTATCGAAACAATTGACTTAATTATATTATTATTGTACAATATAACGTTAATAATATATGATATGTCAAATACTCAGAATCAAAAACATAAAAAAAATTAAAAAAATAACATTTAATTACCATATTATTATAATATTATACGATTTTAGTTATTAAGTATTTTTTTTTTTTTTTTTTTTTTTAGTGTACACAATACGTTATGCGTGTGTTTGAAAAATTATATTTCTCTATTATAGTATTTAAGTATTACATTATTAATGTTAAGTTGAAAATGAAATATGTATACAGAAAAAAAAAAAAAAAAAAAAAAAAAAACAAAAATAAACTATAGTACGGTATTCGCTAGTTTCCTAGATTGTATTATGCGTTAAATGTGTGTCAGCGCGTGTGTGAAATTTCGTTTGAACATTCTCGGCGGAATTATTAATTGTATACTCTGCAACACACATACTCGTACATTATATCATATTGTATTATTATATACCTATATAGCATCTAACCATAATAAATTATAATCACGTTCATTTATATTCATTATTATCATTATGTACTGTCGATGTAACGAATTGTGTTGATTATAACATTTATGTGTGTATGTATGTATATTATTTATAATCGATAAAAACAATATTATCATCGTGCACGGTTAACGTACGGCGACAATGTCGTGCGTTTCAAAATCAAGTTTAAATTACCAATAACTCGCAGTTTTCATTTACGAGATAGTATGATTTTTTGTTTTTTTTGTTTTTTTATATTTCGCCGCATATTTATTTACTTACCGCATCACAATAATATTGTACTGTAATGTCGGGTGCGTCCGACGGCGATTCCCAAACGTTTAAACATTAAACAAACACCGAGGAACGGATTTAAACATGCATTTGAAAATCGACGAAAAACCTGTTAGATTCGTAAAAAAAGTCCTGGAAAAAAAAAAAAAATCGCATATAAATATTTAAGAAACTCAATTTGTAATGAATCTAAAAATTTCCCCCGTTCAATGCGTTTCCAACCCTATTAAATACAATTGTTTAACGCTGAAAAATGACTGTCCCGAAGTATTTTTTTATATATAATGTGAACAATTTTGTTTGAAAAAAAAAACACTTGTATTAATCGTTTTTGTAGTGTTAGAAAATCATTTTTAATAAGTTAAAGCCATTATAGAGAGGAGGACTTTTATACGCCTCTACCGTTTTTGCTTTTTAAAATATTTCACAAGTGATTTTTTGACGCTTTTAATCGGTTTTTTTTTTTCGTGGATTTTGAGCGCATATTTAACCGTTCCCTACTTGCAGTATATAAAAATTGAGTAATTTTCGAGGTGCGCTCCGTCGAGCATACGCAGAACATGATGATATTACTACAGAAATCAAAATTAACGTAACGCGTATATCGCACGGTAAACTTATAAAATCGCCGAGATTCGATTCTATATGAAAAAATAAAACAAAATCCCGATATAATTATTGTTATTCAAAGTATTTGAAATACGATAAAACGATCGTGAAATTAACAAACATGTACGCACGATTTTATCCAAACAATATTACAATATCGCCCGCATAATATTATTATAACAGTTGAGTAGGTGTACGTAATACTTTAATATATTTATAATAACGTATGTTCAATAAAACACAATTAAAACAATCAAATTTAAATTTAAAATGTTAATCAAAATTAGTTTGGTGAAAATAGAAATGAAAAAAAAAAATATATTTTTAGATGTTACATCGCCGTGTTACGTTATTATAATTAACGTTTTAATGCAATTATTTAAACTTTCATTCCGCTGCAACGAATAAATTGCATTTAAGGTCTTACCTGCTGCTGAATAACAACATGTTTTGTTGTTATATTATCAATTATAAAATAATGCATTTAATGTTGATGAAAAACATTTTGTTATTTTTGTTTAAATTTCTAATCATAAAATTAAAATGAATTAATACGAAATTTACCGTTTTTAAATGGATTTATGAATGTTACGGGGAACAAAGACGCTACAAAAATAAAATTTAATCGTAATTCGGAGAATATCTTATAATAAAAATTTTACTCACGTTAATATTATCATAATTATATCGGTGTTCGAATTGGATTTAAAAAAAAAAAAAAAAACCAAAACCAAAAAAAAAACTGACGCAAAACAATAGTGAAAATAAAATTTAAACGTGCGTACTGACGATTATCAACATATCTCCTATGTCCATAAATTATATCATTATGTTCGTACAATAACGTCCGTTAGATGAAAAATTACAGGAGGGAACTGAAAAAATAAAATAAAATAATAAATATTTCTACAAAAGAAGTGACACTCTTACTCGCCCCCGTTAGTTCAAGCACATAAATAGGCGCCATTGATTATAATCATCGCGCATCATAGCAGTATGAACATTTTATTTTAGGGATTTCAAAAGTTAAAAAATCGCCGTTAGACATCTTGACAGTGGTTCGGATTATAGTCGAACATTTTGACCATTTATTAGTTATTCGTGGGGACATCACACGAATAGTTTTAGGTATAGGTTATAGAATAACAGACATGAATACACGAAAATTGTTTCCCGGGCCCAATAATAATACACAAGAAATCCGTTATAACGACAACTCGAGTGACAAGGTGGCTATATTATAAGTTAGACCAGAGCAGCATGCACCTCCCCCCTTCCCCGTACAAATGATGTCGTTGATAGTATTTGATAATCGTCTTTGAAATATAAAAAAAAAAAAAAATATGCACAATAATAAGTCTGCAAATATTCGATTAAATATCATGAAAACGATCGATTGTTTAAAATGGTTTTTTTTTTTTTTTTTTTTAAATTAATTTTGTTAAAAAAACAACACGAATAAAAAGTTATACACTGTGTGATCGTCGAAATTGTCTATTTTATTAAAACAATTTTTTTTTTTTTGATAAAAACAAACGAGCGAGATTAAAAAAAATTAATATAAATATAATGAGTTATGTTAAATCCCGATAAATACACTGTCAGAGTTATTGGTATACTTACGCTTTGAAATTGATTCAATTTCAGAATATACACTCGTGTGTATAATATTATATACATATTACATTTTTATATATACCTATATATGTCATTTTATAATATTGATTATTAATACAAATAATAATAATAAAAAAAAAAAAAAAAAAAAAAAAAAAAAAATCTACGTCTTTTTATTTTACCGATTTTTTTTTTATGTTATAATATTATTTAAGATATTTAAAGCAATAATTTGTTTGGTTTTTTTTTTCTCTCGTGTGAGTCACGTGCTAAAATTCCCACGTCCGCGTGAGCTGGTGCGGGAACGAATTTGAAAGATTACCGACCAAATTATTTTTATCGATTCATGGCATTATGGTTGTATCGATCGAGTATTTTTATCTCGACAAAATGATGAGTATAAAACACGACGGTTTACAATATTATAATAATTTGTTTCCTGCAACGGTTCATATTTGCATATTATAGGTGTCCAATATTTCAACGATTACGCTAGTAATTATTGTTGTCAATTACCGGTTACTAGGACGAGTGCCTAAACGGACTGTAGACCTATAAAGAAATGGACTGACGATATAGTGATAACAAGGAGAGATAGAGATTGAGAAAGTCCGGCTGGTCCGGGGACCAATATTTTAATAACAATTACAATATTGTTAGAAAAAGATGCCATATGACCAGGTGTTATGACTACGACCTGCTAACAATGTATGGATAAACCTAATCAATTGCGAAGCCGAAAAATGATTTTTTTTTTTAACCGACAATAATTATTACATTTTTTTATTTTTTTTTTTGGTTTTCCGCGATTAAACGATACAATGCCGAGAAATCGCCTGTTCCGTGCACATAAAAGGTTTTTATCGGTAAGTAAGTACTAAAATTAACAACTTGGCCTACTTAAAAAAAAAAAGCCCAAATAAAAACTAAAAAATTGTTGATATGTACAAGCCATTATATTATGTTTTAGGATATTATAGTAAATATTTAAATAAATTGTTAGCGAATCATGCTTTAGATGTGAAAAGTCACAAGAATCTCCGAGTACCCAAAATCGTTCCGAAACAATATGCTTTAAATCATGGTGATTTTATATTTTATGAGTATCAAAAATAAATACGGTCAGGCAGGCACTTCGTGTGTTTTAATAATAAATTATAGCTTATTTTTATTTCGTATATTGACATTTTTGCTAGTTGCCTTAACGCTGAATATTTAGTACACGAAGTCAAAGTGAATTAGTAAAACATTATTTATTAACTTAATGTAAATATATTCATTTCATGTTAATAAAAATAAACACGTATTTAAACAATAATCCGTCCCTCAATAAAATATTATAAGTATAAATTATCAGTTGACAACATTATTGACAAGTCATATTTTCAGTCTGACGGTACAACCACCCAATTGGTCTAGAGACTTTCACCTCATGAAAACCCTATTACGCTATCTCTAGAGCCTATAGACGTTCGTCTCGTTTTTGTCTAAAGAAACGAGAGTATTTACCACGGTTCACGAAATCAGACGATTGTAAATAAAAGTTTTCCTGTAAACTGTAAAATATATATTTCAGCCAAAAAGGTGGATGTCACTAAAAAGTAAAAATAATTAAAAACAAATAAACACAAATAATAATTTACTGCGTATTATCATTATTAATCTAATTTAGTAGTATCGATATACAAATAAATGATAAAAATCTTTAATGTGGACTCGGACATTATTATCTGTAGGCAACGCTTTATACGCTATGGAGTTGATCGATATTGTTCCATTGAAATTGAATCGTGTGTCGGTGATTCTGTCAAAGGTGTTCAACTAATTTTTCCCCTAATAATAACCTTAAAGACACATTAATTTAAAAAAGTAAAGAACAGTCATCAGAATTTGTCGAGACCTATATCCAGGAAAAAATAAATTCTAGCTACGCTCCTGCACGATAAGTGACTTATAAAAAAAATGTCGGAATGGACAATAGCATAGCGGAGCGCAAACAATGTACGGCCCTATCTCAATTAAGAGGAGTGGCCAGTGTATATGGAGGGGTCCGTATCCTAATAATGGTCAGTGGTAGGAGCATGGCGCGAATTACGAGTATGTCCGGTTTTTTGTGTAAATTTCCGCTGTTTTACTATACGAATAAATTCAATTAGCCATTTTTATTGGATAAGTACCAGACGGAAACGTTATACATATCGTAAACTAGAGGCAGAACATAAAATTATATAATAATAAACTTTTCTATTTTTCGTGTAAACACTGCGATCGCAAATTATATTTTATGGTGTTTCACAGGCTATCACTAAGTATATACATGTATAATATTTTGTCTGATGAATGTAAACGTGAAATGTGGACGTATTGTTTTCACCGTAAATAGAAAAAAAAAAAATAATAATTATAATTATATCAAAAAACTTCGCGAATAAAGGTAATATTTTACCGTATACTATTTGTTACACTCGTATTATTTTCTACCCGTTTAATGTACCCGCGTTATTTTAGTCACATGCGTTACATTTTATAATATTATGTATAAAATAAATAAAACGTTTAGTACAATAATAATACGTAACACAGTAATAGAATTTCGTACATTTTACAAATCGTACGAAAAATAGCGTAAGTATAACAACTGTGGATATAATATTCAATATTATACCTATAATAAGAAAATTCCTCGGTCTCCAGCAGTCGTACCCAGAGCCGTGCCGTTAAAATTTGGCGCCCAGGCAAAATTAAAAATATTCGCCCTCTGTATTATTTATTATTATGCATTTCATTCTTATTTAAATTAATTTTTTTTTTTTTTTTTACAGCGTATTTTGAACATTGATTTGACAAAAAACTAAAGCTGATTGCAATAGTTATTATTAAACAAAATAGTTAGGTATAAAATAATTAAAAACTAATACAAATTTAACATATTATGTAATATAGTTTGTACATAGCATATAACATATTTTTTATGGTAGTCAACGTATTATATATACTATATTATATTTTCAAACGTTTGACATAGGTACTTAGTTTAAAACTTAATTTTCCTGGATTTTTTTGAAGTAAAATCTTCAATGACGTCTTCAAAATCGATATTTTTTTGTTATTTCATTCTCATTTGACAATATTGCTGAATTAGTCAATCTCTCTTGCGACGTGGTTGTTCGTAAATACATCCTAATCAATTTCAGTTTACCAAAAGAGCGTTCTCCGGAAGCGACGGTAACAGGCATGGTAAAAAACAATCTATGTCAATCATTAAGCTTGGACAAGTTGAATCAAGTTTATATTTTTTAATTGCATTTAAAATATTTAAAGCAGTTGCGTTTTATTACTCTGGTAGAATTGCTTTTGTTTGATATCTAAAAAATTCGATTTCGTTAACTATTTCTGGGCCAATATCTTCGTTGTGATTGATTGCTAAATCAGCTGTACATCTTTTCAATGTTTCAACTGGTGTTACAGATAGTGAATGACCAGAAATCATCAGAAATATTTGATAATTTTTCAAACCTCCACATTGTTTGAGCCATTATATTATCAAGAACTTTGGGGTATTTAATTTTTAATTCAGATATTATTTCAACTTTATCACAAATACTAATAGCTTCAGTTTTAATTTGTTCATTTCCACTATCACGCATTTCTTAAAGAGAAACATTTAATGAATTTAACATTTTTGAAGCCTGGTTTATTGAAATATTTGAGCTTTGTAATACTTTATTTACATGATATATTTGTTTCAATATTTTATCTCACACGACTAAAAAATAAACAAATTTGCAAATCAAGCTGTTTCAATATACTTTCCGCATTAGCAACACCGTCGCCAAAAATTGGATTGGCAGTATAAAAAAATATACTGTCATTAATAATAACTTATTGCATAATAACATTTACAGCATTTACGTTTTTGAGTTACTAAAACTTTATTTCTAAATTTTTATTTTACAATGCTAAAGAAAACACAAAAATTATAAGTATACTACATATCTACATATAAATGTGACTGTATATATATTTGTAATAACTGTCCACAAATATCAAATAATCGGTTCCACCATGAGAAAATAAAAATTAATACTTAGTAGCTAAGGCCTAAAAATAATACGTAAGTAGATAGTAAGACATAATACGTATGTCTGGATGTCATGGACGTAATAATGTTATTCATATACTAGGTAGGTAATAAAAATATATATTTTTAACCGTAAATCCTTAAGAAAAGCCCAAGAGCAAATCCAAAAGTAACTGCCGGTCAGTGCTTCTGGTTTTAACGGCGGTGTAATATGTGTACGGTATAATTACCCGAACACGAACAAATAACAAGAAGCGGTGCAAAAAAAAATGTAGGAATGAACTTTTCAGCTGCCCGGTTCGATTCACATAACATATTGACACGGTCAATTGTAAAATGTAAAAATAATATATAATATAAATACCAATAGGCAATAATTTGTATCTGGTTATTTTTGACTATCGCTTATCGCACCCCGCGTGCTCGACGAGCAGTAGATTTGAGATGAAGAGTACGATAGTTTATTAAAAAGCCAAATAATACAAGAATAAAACGTTGCGGTTGACTAATTGTTATTACTCGACCATAATCGGAAATTTGTTTTAGAAAAAATATGTGATGGTCCGAAATAATTGTAAAACAATAATCTCTCTTATGTATTCTATTTATGTATAGTTCAAAATATAAACATTATCATAAAACATTTTTTTTTTTGGCGCCCCTTTAAACCATGCGCCCGGGGTGCATGCCCCCTAGCCCCACCCCCACGGCATGGCTCTGGTCGTACCTATAGCTCTGCTATATTATTAATTCTATTTATTCGGTTGTACAAACATATTTGCCCCTATAAAACCGTACATTTGATCATTTATTCGGTATAAATTATTCAATTATAAAACATAAACAGATTAAATCATTATCATATTCGAATGATAAACATAATATGATTATAATTCTCTTATAATCTTATAAAATCGGGGGGACAATTGCGCCTGACTGGTTTTTGAGTCTATACGAATTGTTTCATGTTAGTTACATAGTATTAATTATTACATGCATACA